GACCCGCCTCCAGAGGGCCTGCGGGACGTGCCACTGTCCCCCTGGGGCACTGGCCTCCGGGGCTGGCTCTGTGAGGGGGGGAAGGCTGGGAAGGAAGCGTGCCCAGGGCCCCATCCTCCCCTCACCTCTGGGCTCTGCCAAGTTACTTCGCAGTCTGACCAGCTGTGTGTCCTGTGTGCCTGTCCTTTCTGCCACTTGCTTGGTTTCTGGTGGACCAGCGGCCACCCACTCCGTCACGGGTTGGTAGGCCCTGGCAGTGCAGAACGCTGGTAGGCTGAGGTCCGCAGCATCATCCTAGCATACAAGCAAACACTGACCTTGGTGAGTGGTGGCTCAAGTGGTAGAGCACAAGTTTTGAGGAAAGAAAGGAAAAGAAACAAAGTCAGGGACAGCACCTGGGCCCTGAGTTCAAGCCCCAGGACCATGGTGTGCACGAGCAAGAATGTCACCTCAGTGCTGGGCGTGGCTCAGTGACAGCGCGTTTGCTCAGTGAACCCAAGATCCGGGGCTCCCTTCCAATCATCACCAGAAGGAGACGTTTCTGTGGCTGGTTCAGAATTGCTGCTTGGGGGCCTCAGTTTCTCCCTGTGCCCCCTCCTCTCTACTCCTCAGCTTCCCTCCACCTCTCCCTCTATGCTCATACCACAGCCTGCCCTTTCCCCTGCTCCGTTCACCTTTCCCCTGCACAGCCCGCCCGCCCTTTGGCCTTGCTCACACACACACATACACACACACACACACAGTTCACCTCTCCCCCTCCCCCCCCACAGTTCACCTTTCCCCCCCTCACAGCCCGCCCTTTGGCCTTGCTTACACAGCCCTTTCCCCTGCACATCTGGCAGCTTCAGATAGAACATTGTGTAAACAGGGTCTACGTGACCAGGACAGGAAACTGAGCCCTGGCGGGAAGGAAGCCCCAGGCGGCGGAGAGGCCTCCGGGGGAGCCAGCCCTCCGCGCTGCAGGTCAGAGGACTGGACGGCCCCCTGCTGTCCAGCTCGGGACAGAGGCGGTCAGGGCATGCATCTCAGGCTGGACTTCTCGTGTGTACAGACACACCTCTGTGTACACACACATACACACCAACACACATCTGCATATCCACATACATCCATACCCACACACAACACATATATATGCACATACCCACACCCACATGTATACAAAGACATCCACACACACACCACCACACATATTCACACATATGCACACCAACACATCCATATATGTAATACACATCCACACACACCAACACACACATATCCACATACACACGTCCACATATCCATACACATATCTACACCCACATACCTACATACCAACACAATACACACACACACACACACACACACGGCCATGGTCCCAGAACCCTGGAGGAGACCCAGGCTAGAGCTGACGCAGAGCGCAGCTTGCCTGCCGGAACAGAGACCTCAGGCCACAGGTCTTGCTCGGGAGGGGGCTGGTCCTTGGTAGACATCTGTCTGTGACCGTGACCTTGTCTACATGTCCCCACCACTCCCTAAAAGGGCAAAGATTCTCCTAGTGTACGTCAGCCTTCCAGCCCACCTATTGGCCAGAACGGGGTCATGTGGCCTGCACTTGGCTGCAAGGGAGGCTGGGGTGAGGGGCTGGTTCTCAGAGAGTAGCAGGGCTCCCGCGGGGAGAGTGGACTGCTTCTGCCACGGCAGCAGCCAGGGAACACCTGGCGGTACGCCAGTGCGTGGCGCTGAGCCGCCCGAGGGTCAGGTGGTGGCGGTACGCCAGTGCGTGGCGCTGAGCCGCCCGAGGGTCAGGTGGTGGCGGTACGCCAGTGCGTGGCGCTGAGCCGCCCGAGGGCTCAGGCGTCCGCTGTTCTTAGTCTGGTCGTGGCTCCGGCACTGCCCCGTGTGGTCCTTCCTGTGTCTCTTAACATTGGCGCTGGGCTCTGCTGGGGCCACAGCTCTCCTCCAGCAGGGCTCACAGCGGCCTTAACTGGCTGCCCAAGCGCTGCCAGCCTCCTGTCCTCACAGCCTGCCAAACAGATGGCCTGGCTGGGCAGGGCTCAGCCTGGGCAGAGGGAGAGGCTCACCGGCCCCTGTGTCTGCGCAGGCCCCCGTGTCTGGCATCAGGACGAGTGGGGGGGGGGTGGCCGCAGGAAGCCTGATGTCTGCAAGGAGCCGCAGTTCTTGCCAAGGCCCGCAGGCCAGGCAGCGGAAGCGAGGGCCCCCCACCCCCGTCACCTGCGACTGTCAGACCGGAGCCCTGTCGCGTGGGAGGTGCTGCCCTCTGCCCCCACCAGGCGTCTGCCCTGTGCTGATGGAGACTTGTCTGTCGGGGCAAGGCGCACGGGGGCTGGGCCGGGAGGTGTGGGGCCTCCCCTCCCCGCTGACCCGGCCCTGTCTGTCTCCCCAGGTGGAGCTTTACAACTCAGACCCCCTGATCTGCCGCGCAGGGCTGAAGGTGTGCTTTGGCATCCAGCTGCTGAACGCTGTGTCGCGGGTGGAGCGCGCCCTGCCCAAGCTGACCGTGCCCTTCCTGCTGCTGCAGGGCTCTGCTGACCGGCTGTGCGACAGCAGGGGGGCCTACCAGCTCATGGGCTCCGCCCGGAGCCTGGACAAGACGCTCAAGGTGAGCACGGCCCCCACTGCTCCTCAGGCCGCCAGCAGGCTCGGCTGCCCTGCGGCGGGTTGCATGCGCAGGGAGAAGGGGCGTCAGGAGACGATGGTCAGAAAAGAACCCAGTGGACACTGGGCAGATAAGCTCTGGGAGAGTGTCAGGTCCAAGCTCCAGGGCGGCCTTAAGACTCCAGGAAGAGCAGGGTTACGTGACGCCCGTGGCCCCTTGTCTGTGTGTGACGCCCGAGGCCCCTTGTCTGTGTGTGTGACGCCCGTGGCCCCTTGTCTGTGTGTGACGCCCGTGGCCCCTTGTCTGTGTGTGACGCCCGTGGCCCCTTGTCTGTGTGTGACGCCCGTGGCCCCTTAAACACTAAGACCTCCTGGGGAGTATAGGTAAATGCTGTGGGCAGGAAGCTGGAGGAAAGTTCCAGAGTCATTCCACGTGAAGGGCTGTCTTGAAATTGAAGGAGTGTTGGGAGAGGGTGGGCTACAGAGTCCCTGGAGAGGGACGGTGGCTGGAGCTGAGCAGGAGGGTGGGGAGGGGTGGCGGCCCAGCGGCGGGCGCAGAGGCGCACAGCCCTCCCGCCGTCCTGGCTGTGTGGGCCACCCTGGAGTCCAGGTACGAGAGGCGTCGGGCAGTGTGGGGACAGGCCGCGGCCGTGCAGGGCCGGCCCTGACACCGCTGCGCCCCACAGATCTACGAGGGCGCCTACCACGTGCTGCACAAGGAGCTTCCCGAAGTCACCGACTCCGTCTTCCAGGAGATCAACACGTGGGTCTCGCAGAGGACAGCCCAGGCAGGGGCAGGGTCCCCACCCTGAGGGCCGCGCGCCGCTCATGGCCCTCACGCCCGGGCACACGGGAGAGGAGGGCAGAGCTGGCTTCTCAGACGTGGCTCGCAGAAAACCCCAAAGCCAAACCAAACCAATTGGAGAAATCCTTAGCACAATTTACTTAAAAAGAAAAAGACGTCCTGGTCCTGCGTGAGGCAGGCTGCGGCCGGACCTGCTTACGGGTGGAGGCCTCGTGCGCAGGAAAGGCCGGGCGGGTGAGACGGGCTGAGCCGCCCCCCCC